ACAAAACGCTGGCTCTATGGCTTGGAAACGATGCGTTACTTTTGCCCTATCCATATTTCCTTCCAGTGGTGGATCATTGTGTGCAGTTCAGTTTTCTGAAGGATCCTATTTTCCCAAAGGAGACTGGGCTTCGAAGTCTCCAGGAAAGGGCATTCTCTCAGTCCCATTATTCTTAGAGACATGGTGGGGACATGAGAGAGATCGCTGTTGCAAGGGCCTTTCCCAGACTCGAAGAACTCCCTACCCACATAGGCCAGGCAGGCTCTGCTGTTTTTATCTTGCGTTTCAGTTGTATTCTTCTGTTTAATTTTCTGTATATATTGTTGTGAGTCCCACTTTTGGGAGGAGAAACACAGGTTATAAGCCCAATAAACAAACAAGTAAGTTGGTTGGTCAGTCTTGTAGCCTATGTTTCTCCTCTCAGTGTCCAAAGTTGTACAAATGGTGCTGAAGCTCATAGTCTGTGCTAGCTAGGGTAGGAGAAGGAAGTGTGAGTTTAGACTATTTGAGAAACATTAAGCAAGACCAAGGATGGGCAAAGGCAGTCCCTTGGAAACGGGGATGAGCACCACCCCCTAGAGTCGAACACGACTGGACAAAAATTGTCAAGGGGAACCTTTACCTTTACCTTTAAGCAAGACCAAGGGTGGGCAAAGGCAGCCCCTCAGATCTTGTTGACTTGCAACTCCCATCAGCTATAGGCAGCATTAGGCAGCGGTGATGAATGCTCACCACTGGGTTTTGCCTTCTCACAGTGGTAGCTCACTGGGTTAACTTTCTTACAGAGTTCTTCTGTGACTTCCAAGCATGTTAAGGGGTTTGTATGGCTGCTGTCTTCCCATGACAGTCAAGGAATATACAGTGGTGTTATTACTTAAACTGATACACAGAGTAAGGGGTTTGTATGGCTGCTGTCTTCCCATGACAGTTAAGGAATATACAGTGGTGTTGTTACTTAAACTGATTCACAGAGTTGTCGACCAGACCAGATGGGCGGGATATAAATCAAATAAATAAATAAATACACTCAATAGTTTTCTGATTTACCTTTCTGCTCAATTTATAAGCTGCTGTTTGAGTGGAAAAATACTGGGTGCACCAATATTGCACTGCATGTACATAACTAAATGTCAGAGGGGGATATACAAACTGACAGCAGGCATGGTTCCATGTTTCTGCTGTGTAATATGTAGTTCTGTTCCAAGTGTATTGCTTAGTTTGCTTTGGAACTGTGTATCAGTTTAAGTGACAGTGACTATGTACCAGTTTGAACTGAGAAACATCTACTTGAAACCGGCTATTTTGTATGTAATGGACATTTTAACTTTTCAGTTATTATGCATCTCTTCCCAGGTCAGTCAAACTCTGCATATACCTTAAAACCATTAGGACTTAATTGTGGTTAATATGAGTCCAATTGATTTCAGTGGGACAACACAAAGTATGATTTTCTCTTGAAAGAACCTTGTTTCCATACTTCTTAGGAATATCTCTGTTTTTTGTTAGGATTTAGAATGTTAAAAATTCTCCAAGAATGTGTTCTGAGCTGCTGTATATGTGTTTCACAATTCATTTGATGGTATTATCCTTGGCAACAGCAGTTTCAATATCTTAATATTATTGAAAGGGAACTTTTTCTACCTTTCATCCCAGGGTAATTGTTATTAAGTAGCTAAGTAGCTCAGTGTTTTAGCTATCTGGCTGTGGAGCCAGAGTTTGGGAATTCACTTCCATATTATGCCTCCTTGAGAGGGTCCTTTCCTGCTCTGCAGTTCTAAGATGATGATGATTACTTTTTCAGGAAAATGAAAATGAATTGCAGCATTTAGTGATTGCGACTGTAACAGCTGCTGTCAGCTAAAAAAACATATTTAAAAGCCTTAAATGGCTTGTGGGCTGAAATGTCGTATCTGGCAGGTTGAGATACCCTGTTTTCGCGAAAATAAGACCTAACCTGAAAATAAGCCGTAGTATGATTTTTCAAGATTCTCCTAATATAAGTCGTACCCCCAAAATAAGTCACAGTTAGGTGAAACCCTGCCCACCATTGTGCAGCAACCAGAAGATGACACGACTGTATTTGAAGAAATGTAGATTGTTGTACATGAAAAAAAATTCCCTGAAAATAAGCCCTAATGCATTTTTGGAGCAAAAATTAATATAAGACCCTGTCTTATTTTTGGGGAAACATGGTAGCACAGTGCATTAATGCTCTTTGGTTCTCAAGTTTCTTGTGCTGTTTAGCACTTGCTAAGTGTCTCATTCCAGCCTAGCTGGATAGACATGGCTTTGAGGCTCAACTGGTGACCACTTACCAAGTCTGATGTCATAGATGTGAATATTACAAAAATGTTGAACTCTTGGTAGAAAACTTGTTCTTTGTGAAAAGAAAATAGCAATGTGTGGGAAACTCTAGTTCCTAAACTAGCAACTGTATTGTTTTCGCATGTAATAACACTAATAACCATATGTTGTCAAGTCAGTTCTGACTTATGGCAACTCTTTTGAGGGTTTTCCAGGTAGAGTATACAGTACTCAGAAGTGGTTTATCATTCCCATCTTCTGGGGGTACCCCGAGACTGTGGAGCTTGCCCAAGGCTGCACAGGGTAGCTTTACACTTAAAGAGGCACAATGGGGAATTGAACTCCCAGTCTCTGGCTCTGCAGCTGTTTTCCTACATGGCCATTAGTCAATTTGTAGCTTTACCCAAGATTTTAGTGTAGAATCTTTGAGTGCTGCTGGAATGGAAATGAATATATGCACATGACTGGCCAAACAAAACATAACCAGATAGTTCTGTATTCTGTCTTGTTGGCTAATATTTGTAAAATGCTTACAAGTAAAGGATTAACAGTGGTGTGCAACAAACATGAAACATACGATGTATAATTATATGAGCCAAAAAAAGTAAAATATGTTGGTTGAGCTACACCAAGAAGGCTTGTAAAAACAGGAGACATATAAGAACTGCCATTTTAAGTCTGATATCAGGATGCAAGGTGTTCCACATTGTGGGTGGCATGCAAATGCCCTGCTCTGAATATCTGTGGAACAGATCACGAGTGTACGGCATAATCAGAAGTGAGTCTCTAGACAACAGCAGGGACAAGAAGGATCAGTCAAGATGGCAACCATGAGCTCTGCTTCACCAAATAGCTTCTTACGTTCAGGAACAGGGGCCAGTTTCCTCCTGAATATTTGACAATGTGATTCTGGGCCAGCAGAAGGATTTATACTTCTACAAGGAGCTGATAGACACTTCCTTGAGCAAAGTTAGAAAGGCTGACTACTTGCAAAATGGAGACAAGCTAAGAAATTGAGCAAGTTGGCTGTGTTCAGTTTTCTGAATAAAAAGACTCAGCATGAATCATGAATGCAATGAATTGATAACATTTGTGCACAGTGTAAAAAGAGCTGAGGTTGACATCATCCTAAATGCAAATTAAATAGGCAATATGTATGTTTAAAATGTGTTTTTGCCAGAACACAGTCTTTATAGAGTACTAATAGTTATCAATGAAGGTTCAATAGCACTATAAGTATATGCTGTCTCTCCTAATCTAGACACTTTATACTTTAAATTCAGTCTCGTCCTTTGGACATTATTAGGAATTTCACTTGGACATACGTATGTATAAGATTATTAGGAATTTCACTTGGACATACGTACTGTATGTATAATGGATGAGTTCTTAGGTGACTAAGTTTGGAAAATCTTGACCTTCGACCTGAAATGACAAAGTTATGTTAAGAAACAGGTTGAGCATAGTTTCCTGTGGGACGTGACAAGTGCCATGTCTCCTATATCTTAATTGTTCCTTGTGGATTTTGCCACTCAGAGTGCAGTTGCTCCAGTGCAGAATGTGGGTGTCAGCTGGCTTGGTTGCCACAACTGACCTAGAATAATAACTATATTATGATCATACACTTTTCTGTTTTACCAGTCACCTGTTATCAGTTTCGTAATCAGCCCTGTTGTACTGCTAACAATTCAGTATTTGTACAGGGAACACTGGCTTTAATAAAAGTCTGTTCACTTTAGTTTGAGCTGCTTTTCTGGACCGGGGGCTGGGGGGAGAGCAACAGTAGGACAATCTGTTGCCTAGATATAACAACCTATGCATACTTTGCCCATGAGTAAACTGAATACTTCCTTTGTTGCTTCAGTTGCTGGGGCTGCAATTATCTTTGTGTAGTAGAGGAGTGAATCTCCATCACTATGCATACAGAACTTTATCTGAAGTGGAGAGCTCATGCAAATGAGTGCAGTCTTGCCTATCAGTGGTACTGCCCTGTTTTCCCAAAAATAAGACAGGGTCTTGTATTAAATTTTGCTCGAAAATGCATTAGGGCTTATTTTCAGGGCCTGTTTTATTTTTGTCATCTACATTTATTCAAATACAGTACAGTTGTGTCATCTTCCGTTGTTTTATTTTTGTCATCTACATTTATTCAGATCAGTACAGTTGTGTCATCTTCCATTTGCTGCACAATGGTGGAGGCCGGGGTTTCACTTAATTGGGGCTTTTTTAAAAAAATGTCATCTACATTTATTCAGATCAGTACAGTTGTGTCATCTTCCATTTGCTGCACAATGGTGGAGGCCGGGGTTTCACTTAATTGGGTTTTTTTTTAAAAAAAAAAGTAGGACTTATATTATGAGCATCCTGAAAAAACATACAGAACTAGGGTTTATTTTCAGGTTAGGTCTTATTTTGGGGAAAACAAGGTATAATTTCTTATACCTAAATTGTAAATACTGACCAGTTCTGGATACAGTATCAGTTCTGGATACAGTATCATGGATACAGTTCATGTTGAAATTTGAGAAGCAGGACTCTTGGTTGAAATAATCAAGGTGTACTGATAGGATAAATGGATTGACTCATCTATCCAACTTATTGCTTGTATGCTTCCCAGAGGTTTCTGCTGGGAAAGAAGTTCAGTGCTGTGACAGTTCAAATGCGTATAAATAAAAATTGTCCTTTCTGTTAAACAGGGAAACGTCTGCAAGAATGGATTAGTGTCATCTTGTGTTTTTCTCTGATGTCTTTCAACTTCTACAAGCTCCTCTTCTGCTTGAGACTGGAACATGCCTTCTCAATTATTATTGGGATATGTAAGTATGAGCTAGCTATAATACAGTAAGCCGTACTTTCTGTAAGTACTAAGTTGTGAGTAGGAAACAAAACGACACTGTTAACCCCACACAGAATCGTTTGCATTAGGATTAGAAGAAAGATGTCTGTTGTGGAATTTGGAGGCAACATCCTTAAACTTTGATTACATCCTCACATAAATTTCCTAGTTTTTCATAAAATTAGCTGTGACATCTAGGTGAAACTGTGTGTTAATGTAATGAGAGATTAAATGTAGGAAGCTCTCTAGATGTCGACTAATAACACATTACTTGTTGATACTATAATTAAAGTTAAATATACTCAGAAGTTGAAAGGTTGAGTTGAAGAATTAAACTGAGTCATATTTGTTTATCTGATGGATTTATTAGTCGTTTTTGACTGCTGCTTCTACAATAAACAGGGCTGCTTCTACCATAACAGCAGCACATAAATCTAGCCATCATAACAAATCAATACTTGCATGTAGACTGATGTGTTTCGAACAGCAGCACATAAATCTAGCCATCATAAATCAATACTTGCATGTAGACTGATGTTTCCACATTTTACAGCATGTATTTTATTGGATGATGATGGGAGCAAATAGTGGCATGGGCATGTGCTGGCCTTCAAGGTGCTTGAGTTTGAGAAGGCCTGACACCTGGATGGGAAAGGTTCCACACCCCTGCTGTTTTAAACTAGAGAAGAGGACTAGTGCTGGCCATTTTGGAGGTGGGTCACCAAGTGCCCTGTGTAGATACTGTTCTGTAGCATAAATGGAGAAATGCTCATATAGTGCTCATGTTGACCTGGGAGAATAAACCATAAACTCTGAGTTTAAATCCTGATTTCAGTTAATTCTAAATTAGTGGACTATTGACTCATCTGTTGGTTGGAAGGTTGAGATTGAAGGCTACATTAGTTCAGTGGTTCTGTGTGGTTTAGTTCTATCAATGGGATTTGGACCCTGATATTTTAAATCTGTGGTTCTCACATAATAGTAGGTATCTTCTGTGGGACACGGCAGTAGTCTAGGTTAGATGCAGAGTTTCTATAAGAATTTTTTTTACCACCAGTAAGTGCCATCAAAGACGTTTTTCTTTGTGTAAATGATAAACAGATTAACAGAATCCATGTAAGCATATACATAGCCTTTCCAGAAGAAAATGGGCTTTTTGTTTTTGTTACATGAGATTTTAAGAAAAAGTGATTGGTGAGACATGACATATTTGCTTCTGCTTTTCTTTCTTTTCCATGCAAACTAGACAGTGATAGCTTAGTGTGATGGCCATACCAGGAATGATGGCTCATTGTCCCAAACAAGCCAAGATCCCCAAACCAGGATTCTATTATTGGCTTTAAAATCTCAGCTTGCTTGGACACAGTAAACCATAATCTTAGTTTCTTTTCGGTGTCATGTTAACTCTGTGCCTGATCAGTCTGCCAGTTCATTCTGTGTATCTCATCATGCTACTTGTTTACATTGTTTGCTTGGACACAGTAAACCATAATCTTAGGGTTTTTTGGTGTCATATTAACTCTGTGCCTGATCAGTCTGCTGGTTCATTCTGTGTATCTCACCATGCTACTTGTTTACATTGCCATTTAAGAAGGTAGAATTTCTTTTATGTGGAAATATCATTGCTGTGATAATTAAGGTGGCATGGAGTAAACCACGGTCTTAATTCTGAGAAATGCTATTTGGAGCAAAAGGGGTTTGTTTGCCCAGTAAACAGGACATTGCTGTTACTTATATGTTTGAAGAATAATTTCAAATGTAAGTCTGCTAGTTTCTATAGGTGTCATTCTAAAGAAACTGGAAATTTGAGATATTGCAAGAACTGACCCAGCATATAGAATCATTTAACTGAATGCGTCAGCTTCTCATGAAATTCTTTTCTTAACATTGCAGTGTGTGGTGTTATGACATTTAGTTCTTTACTTCCTGGATTAATGAGCCAAATGAATATGTATGGGGTGTGTGGTTAAAAATATATTGTTGCAGGACCACCACCTGTTTTTTAAGTATTGAGGTATAGAGCTTGCAGAAAATTACATTTAACCTAACTCATGATGTTTCTTGCCAGTTCATTTTTGTGTACTTGTGCTATGACACATATGCTACCACCTGTGATTTTTAGCACTTTATTTGAAGTGGTTCTCAAAGCTCTGACTTGTTTCTCAAGTTACAAATGCTTCGTATGCAGAAACGTGATTTGATTAACTTAATATTTTGGAAATATTGTTTGTATGAAATATGTTGCATTCAATGTCCGGTGCTCAGATGCTTGGAACTATCTGATAGAAACACTGTAGTGCGGTACTGGATGTGGCACTCCACAAAAGCATGTGATTTCACTGTGTTCCCAGAGTGTTTTGTGCTTCTTAGATTGTGATTACTTGCAGATTAACCTAGTGGAATATTGTTGTTGTGAGATACGGAGTGGTGAACAGAGGACTGTACAGAATGTAGCCTTTGGGCATAACTGAGAAATCTGCAGAGGCAGATGTTTAGTTCACTTAATAAACATCGTGTTACATGGGTTTTGCTTACAATTATCTGTTATTCCGTTCTGGTGCCTTAATCCCTTCTCCGTTCTTCGAGCCATTTATAGAACAAATTCCACGTTGTAAAGTATTCTGTAGGTTCTTTCTCCTTCATCCTCAGTGTAAGTCTGTCCATTTCTGCGCACTCTAAAATCTTCTTGGTTATCTTTTCTTCTGTTGGTACTACTTCATTTTTCCAGTATTGTGCAAATATAATCCTAGTGCTGTCAAAACATGCAGTGTTAGATATACATTTTGTCTATCAATGTCCTCTGCTAAGAAACCTAATAAGAACAATTCTGGTTTAAAGTCTTTATGTTTTTAAAGCATTTTAACCAACCATATGTGTGATTTGGTCCAAAATATTTTAGCTTTTTCACAAGTCCACCATAGGTGTCCAGTTTTTGATCACATTTCCAACATTTACTAGACATATTAGGAAACATTTTTGCTAATATAGCAGGTGGTAAATGCCATCTATAGAACTTTTTATATAGATTCTCTTTATATGTCACCATTGTTGTTTTATGATTTCTATTACACAGTTTCTGCCATTTCTCTAGTTCAATATGGTATCCCAAATTTTTAGCCCACAGCACTATTGTTTCTTTCACCTGTTCATCTTCCATTTTCTAATTTAGAAGAAGTTTATATATTTGGTCAAGCATCTTTTTTATTTTTTACATCTTTTCCATACCTAGATCTTTTTACATTTTTACATCTTTTCCATACCTAGTTTGGATTTGCATTAAGGGCCCCCATGATATGCCTATACCCTGGTCTGTAAGATCTTGTTTCAGTTTTAATTTCCCTTCTGAATCTAAAGTATCCTTATTAGATAAGATTTCCTCAAAATTTAAGAGATTCAGGTGGATAAATGCTTCCATAGGTGAAAGCCACCTTGGTATTTTTGTATACATTTTTATTTTTATCTTTTCCCATGTTATCAATCAAGAGTTTCTGATATAATGATTTTGAAAATATCTATGGCTTTTTGCTTTCTCATACAATAGAAAGGCATGCCAGCCCAATTGTGGGTCAGGTCCTTCTAAGTGAAGCAGCCTTTTATTCCTCAATGTGATCCATTCTTTAAGCCACATTAAAAAACATCCTTGATAATATAATTCCCAAGCTGGTAATCCAAAGCCTCTTTTTTCTTTAGATTCTTGTAGCATTTGCAATTTAATTCTAGCTTTCTTCCCTTGCCAAATGAACTTTGAACTCAACTTATTCAATTCTTCAAAGTATTTCTTTTCTATTTTAATTTAATCGGTACCTTTTGAAACAAAAAGAGTAATTTTAGTAAAATGTGAATTTTATTTGTCACAACCCTTCCTAGCATTGATAGTTGCAGGTTTTTCCATTTTTCCAAGTCCACTTTTATTTGTTTAAATAGTTTTAGGTAGATGCCTTCCTTAATAGTTGTACAACTTGCAGTTATGTATATTCTCAAATATTTGATCTGGCTCTTTGTAAGTTTGACATCTCTAATAATTGGCTTTTTTTATTGGCTGTTAGATATTTAACTATAACTTTGTTTTTTTTTCTTGTTTTTTTTTCAATCCTGCTACTTCCCCAAATTCCTCAATTTTTCCTAGTAATTTCATCATTGTTTCCAGTGGATCTTCTAATATGAATATCAAATTGTCTGAGAATGCTTGTAGCTTGTAGTTCTCAACTTTTATTTATGCTCCTTTAATTTCCGAATCTTGCCTCACGTTTCTGTTAAGCACTTCTAGAGTCAATATAAACACCAAGGGGGAGAGAGGACATGCTTGTCTTGTACCTTTTTTAATATTGATATCATTGTTCTGTTCACCGTTTACAATTATTTTTGCTGTTTATTGTAAATTGTCTTAATTAGATTTATGAATTTCTCTCTAAACTCCATTGAACTTAATTGTTGTATCATGAATTGTTAACTTACATTGTCAAATGCTTTTTGGGCATCTACGAATAATAGTGCCATTTGCTTCCCTGCTTTTGCTTCATAGTATTCTAGTATATCCAAAATTATCCTTAGATTAGTTGTTGTGGGTTTTTGGGCTCTTTGGCCATGTTCTGAAGGTTGTTCTTCCTAATGTTTCGCTGGTCTCTGTGGCCAGCATCTTCAGAGGACAGGAGTAGCACTCTGTGTTCTGGTGCAGTTTGTTTGTGAGTTGAGTATTTATGACTATGAGATCAGCTTTTGTCTGAAATATGAGATCACCCATATTTCAGGATATGGGTGATTATGGTGATCAGTGTGTTTTTGTTGTGGGTGTACTGTTGTGATACGGAGGAGAGACTACCCATCACTGTGATTGATGGGTGTCGTTAGCTGGTATTTTGTGTGTAGTGATCACTGGTCCTTGTGGCTGGGTAGAGTTCATTGACCTTTTCATGCTGTATTTTTCAGTGCTGGGAGCCAAGTTTTGTTGAGTTTCAAACTTTCCTCTTTTTTGTTGAAGTT